ATAAAATACAACCCAATAAAGAAAATTTTCTTAGTATGCAAAAAATAACCAATAGGTATATACAAGGAATTGAAAAAAAGTCGCACTTCTTTTATCAGCAGGATTCAATATAAAAAATCAAGACCAAAAGACTCAAAAAGTGAGAAGATAACATGCAGATATGAGGAATATATGTAGGCCAATGACACATATCAGAATCTAATTATTCAGAAAAAAATACAATCCTAAAGGAAACGAATTTTTAAAGGGATGAGTTCCCCAATAACTTAATCTGGTGTTTAAAATGTAAGAAGGAAAAACTTCCCAGTTTGCCTCGGTTCCATCTCTGTAAATGATAAATGAAAAATACTATAACAGAACAAAAGAATGCTTCAGAAGTAATTGAAACAGCAGAGCTCCAAGCTGCAAAAATAAGGTAGCTCTTTGCAGCACAGGGATATGTCACGCACACGCACACACTCACACACAGACAAAACAAGATGTAACAGTGCTACTCACTAGGTAGACCGTTCTTCCTTCATACTCAAATTTGACGCGAATAGAGTCCCTAGTTAAACCAGCCTCTGGCCCCACCAAAACACGATCTTCTTGCAATATTGCATTGAGCAATGTTGACTTTCCAACATTCGGTCGCCCTACAATTGCCAATTGCAGTGGCGACTTAGCATCCTCATCGTTCAACTGTTCATCTTCTTTGGAGCTGTTCTCCTCAATATTATCATCTAAAATTGGAAAGTAGAAATCGCAGTCCATAAACAGGTATTCTTGTGGTTATTTATGAAAGAAAGCATGTGCAGATATTACAAGAAGAAGTGAATAGCCATTCCTTCAGTCTGATGGCATGACCCAAGCAGCACTAATCCTGTGTCCTCCCTTGTTTAGTTGATTTTCAGAAAATAAATCAAACATCCTACAAACGTGGGATAAATAACCCTGAGAGAAAGGGTGGGATTATCTATTCTTCGATGAAAGCCTATGGGGATCACAAAACAAGATGACTTTTTCAGACTTCTTCAAACCTACTTTAATAACTAAAATTCATAATCTAAATCATAAGATTGGACGTTTTTTAGGATATACCAACCAAATATGAGACAACTGCTTAAATCCAATAAGGAATCAATAGATGAGTCATTCCAGGATAATCTATACTGACATAATTAAATGAGCCTTAATGGCCTACTACCTCAATAACCTTACAGGTTAGGGATCATACTGTCCAAGGTGCTGCGTCCTCAGTAGCATTATTTGCTTCATACAACTAGACACATAAGCAGCCAGATAGAACCAACAACTAAACTAATAATATTGTGAGAAGAGAATTTAGAGAGCTTCTCTGAAATCTTACCCCAGAAACAAACATGAAAATGCAAATCTCAGCAGGATGTGAGTATTAACCTCAAAAGACTCATCATTGTCACATTCACAGCCTAGAGGCATCATACAAATGCCATTAAAATCCCCCATTATGAACCAATTGCAGCATATACTGGTGGCGCCCAAAAAAAAAAAAAAAGCACCACGCAAAAACAATACTTCAGGACACAAACGGAAGATGAAAATCATGGTCAAACAATACAAGCAACTGACGTCTTACCAGTTAAGACTTGTAACATATAGTCCTCAAGCAATGGCTTAAGAGCTTCATGAAGCTCTGACATACCAAATCCAGTTTCGGCAGACAATGCAACAGGATCCCCAAATCCTAATGAATAAGCTTCACCAACAGAAGCAGCAAGAGAACCAGAGAATGCATCAAGCTTTTCAGCTTTGTTTATTACCACAAGAGTCTTGATTCCAGGTGCATTCTTCCTCAACCACCTTCCGACATCCAAATCCATGTCCTGTAATCCTTCTCTGATGAGAACATAATCAATATTGAGAATTATGTCAGATACTAAAGTATTGAACACTATACACAACATGATAATAAAGCTAATTTGATCTGAGTTGAGCATCAACGCAACATCACATCAATGTAAAATCTAGTTAAGTACAACAGCAACTGTTTCCTTCCAGATACAAAAGCTGCTTAAGATGTGTACAAGTTCATAGAAGACGTACTTTTTGAATCTAAACATTTACCCCATATGTACATCCAGCTTCTCAGCATTCATATTTTCTGTTTTGAATTACATAACAATAATAATCATATATTTCCATCTATTCTTCAACTATATATTTTCATCTAGGTTGAATTGCTTTCTCACCTCTATGGATTACATTTGTTGTAAATATTTGTTCAGCCTAATACCAGGAAACAGGCACTGAAACTTGCATGGTAGCTTTTGGCATCGCTGTCCCCATTCTTTTTCCAAGACAATTGTTTATCAAACAACTTAACAGCACTATTGACCTAAACAAACCGTCCCAATTGGAAAACATGAACATGTGATTTCTCAAAAACCTCACGACATATCTCTATCATCATTATCTTCACAGCAGCCAACATAAAAAAAAAAAAAAAAAACCATGCAGGCTTAAGTATTTTAAATTGCTTGTATTGAGCTCTGCATTGGAACTTATATTGGGTGCGTATACAGTTGACGACTACTTGATACTAGCCCATACATAAAAGGTTCATAGAACTCAAGTCAAAACCAGGAAATTAGATATTTTTGTTGCAAATGCTTTGCATGATCTGACGATTGCCCAATACATGTCCCTTTATATGTTTAATGGAATTATAGTTGGCTGAGACAGCATTCATGTACAACAGAAGCACAACATTTTAAGCACAATATTGTGTATACAAATGCAAAACCTTATTAACAGTACTAACCTCCCATCTATTAAGAAGAGCACAAGTTGAGACCGTCCCAGCACATTTCTAGTCATTCCTGCAGTTCTGGAAAGGACAGAACCCGAGGAAGCCTCAGCCTCTAGACCAGCTGAATCCAAAACTCTAAACCGCAAATCACCTAATTTTGCAACCCCTTCTCGAATGTCCCGCGTAACATGGTCAGTTGGAGTATTATATACAAGAGCTTCCCTCCTTCGTATCAAACTATAATAGCACAAGCAATATATTGAAAGTTTATTTCTCAAGGATAGCAAAACAATTTGGAAAAAACTTAAGAAAAATAACATTTTGGGAGCATGCATCATATGGTCAAGCATAACTAACCGATTAAACAGTGCAGACTTCCCAACATTAGGACGTCCCATGATGATAACAGTAGGAAGTTTATTAATCTCAATCTTAGTAAAATCAATGGGCACCCCTGCCTTAGGCTCAAACTTTGGCTCTTTGGGACCACTAATAACATCAGCATCCACATCAAACTTCTCCACATCACTGTTAGTATCATCAGCCAATCCAGAAATATCTTCCTCTGGCATTTTTTGTACCAGAGCAGTACAGAATTTTCGCACATCTAGATGTACCGAGGGTTGAGACAATGATACAAAATTGCAGTATTTTGTCGCCCGCCATCCTATTCCTCCACCGCTTTTTGCACGACAAGGCAGCAATAATGATCCTAACAACCAAAACAGTAATCAAAAGAAAACAAAATTAAGTCTTTTTAATACAATCTCAACAGGAATGCGTTGCAGAGTTGATGTGCTTATGCAATATATCTAAGTACAACATAGCACTTCAATCAAGCAGCAGCTGCCACAATAAACATAACTTTTAAAGATAAAGCCTTTTGCAAAACAACAGGAGAAAAATAGCAGACAATGGTGCATCTTCTAATTATACAACTAACCCTGTTGTTGTGAGACTTGACTGGAGGAGCTTGAATTGGCTTGAAAGTGGTTTCTTTCTTTGTTTTCGAAGAACTCAGTCAGTTGGTTGCCAATATTGTTCTGTAAAGTGTTACTTGCTGAGATGATTCCAATGCCACACCGACTCTTTCTGGATGAAAGAGCTCGAACCCATGAGGGCAACATTCCAAGATTGAAACTTTACCGCTATCTACAAAACTAATTGGTATTTACACATAAGGGCTCTTCCTCTCCTCGGCGGGTAGGGTCAACTACTTTTTCCAAACTGCAAAACAGCAAAAAAGATGAAATTTTGTTCACCAAAACGTTGAATTAGTGACTAGAAGAAGTGAAAGAAAAAGCATGTGCATACACATGTTTGCATAAATGTCTGACAGAGTTTTCAAGAATATTACCTAACAGAGGAGAGGAAGTTTTCTTGGAGATTGAAGTATTTAACCACTGATCAGAGATTGAAATGGAAATGGGCCAGTTGAATACCAACTGGGGTAAAGTCCGGGGGGCATTGTGGAGCAGGAGGAGATGACCAAAAATAGAAAGCGAAGAGTGCGGGAATAGCTTGAAAGAAACCCAAAAAGCAAAATTTGTAGTAAAATTAGTAAAATATTCAGGGAACCAATTTCCAATGTCAGTAAACATGATAAAAGAAAAAAGAAAATGAAAACCTTTTTTTTAAAAAAAAAAAGAAAAAGAAAAAGAAATTACCATTTCAATTATCGAACTCCACCAGGGGTCCAATCAGAACGCGCCACGTACATTTCTTGTCTATCTACACTTCTACGTTGGACGTACTACTGTACTTGTGACAGTGTTTTTCAATGTGAGTGTACAATTTTGAGAAAAGACAAAAAATGGTGACCCTTGGAAAATAGTAGCAACATAAAAAAGAGTGACAAATTACTCACATAACCACTCAACTTTTTAAATAGTAAAGATTTGACCATTTTATTATTAATAGAATGTTTTTATTTATTGAATCATTAAATATGTAAAGTTTGGATCGTTCTATTTGATTCCATCATTAAATTTGACACATCCAGGCGTGATTTTACGAGATATTAGATCTGTCAGAGTTAACAGTGGAACCAGACGAAATGATCCAAAATTTATATATTTGATAGATCAATGAATTATAACCCTCTAATAATTGAGTGGCCAAAACTCAAATATCAAAAAATTTAGTGGTTCTCTAAATAATTTGCTCAACAAAAAAATTTCGCTTAAAACCCTTTTTGTTTTTCTCTTTCTCCTATTTTAGTAGTCATTTGTTCACACATGTTGTCGTTCCCACGCTCCTTCTTCGCGCTGTTTCCTCGCAGTCCTCCTCTCTCTTCTCTCCTCTTTCTCTCTCTCTCTCTCTCTCCATATTATATATACAAGAATAATACAGCTATATTTGTATTATTTATTTTGGCTGGAATATTTCTTCCTCGAGTAAAAACATTAGTAAATCAATTGTTATGTATTACTGTAATTTGAAATTGGGAACAATGAAGAAGAAACCCTAGCTCCTAGAAAAACCCTAATTTCAGAAATTACGGTTCTGTTTTGACTCGATTTTCGGGGGGATTTTGCATAATTTATCGGCAGAGAATAAGTGGAGAATTGAATTGAGGCGAAAGTGAAGAAGAAGGTGGTAAGTGGTAATGGAGAGTATTCCGCATCCGATACCGAGAACTGTAGAAGAAGTGTTCAACGATTTCAAAGGTCGTAGAGGTGGATTAATCAAAGCCCTCACTACTGGTCCGCTCCGCTTCTCTTCCTTCTTCTTTCTTTTTCTCCACTTTTTTTTCCCTCTCTCTATTTTTCTTTTCTTTTTTCTATTAACAATTTGTGCTTTGTAGTATTTGGGATTTTTTTTAAAATAGCGGTGTGTTGTGTCCAATTTTGCTTCGTAAAGCATGAACTTTTTTATGTTTATGCATAAATTTGACATGCAGACACAGAACTTTTGCTTATAATCTTGCAGTATGCGTATTTACGTGTTTTCATATGCTTATCAATTTGTTTTCTTTTTGGCAGATGTTGAGAAATTCTACGAGAAGTGTGATCCGGGTAAGTTAACAATTTTTCATCTTCTGGAGCTTTCCAAGCCCTTTAAATTCGTGTTTTTGGACCAACTCATGTCTAGTAGTGTTTCTAAAGTTAAATACATATATAAAGTTTTTTTTTTTTTTTTTGCGTTGTTGGGGCTGGGGAAGGGGATTTAAGTTTCTGATTTTTCTTCTTTTATTTTTTATGCACATTTTTGGTGGACCTCTTAATTGCTCCTTGGAAGGACAGTTTCGGTGGCTATTACGTAGAGCTCATGTTGAAGGTTGACTTTTGGAGTATGACTATCGGTTGTTTTGTCCTTATTTTGAGCTTTTAGTAGCTGTAGTGCCGTCATGTAGATTCAGCTGATTATTCTGTGAATAGCTTTACATCTTATAAGTTGTTGAACTGTTTTTAGTCATTATTAGTTGTTGTTCCTCGGGAAGAACTCGTCTTTATGTAGTTCTTTTTACTGCCCTTGCTTCCTCGATCAATTGCAGCCCATGTAGTCTGATTTTGTTGATGTCAAACTCTTGCAACTGGTATATTGGTTATCGCATTTGACGGAATCTTCTCCTACATAACCTTTCGAAAATCATTTGACCTTAGTATCTTTTTGAGCTCAAACTGGTTGAGCATTTCTTGTTCTTCTCATCCCAGTTGTTCTTGTCATCTTTTGATCAATAAACCTTATTTGGGAGAACATCTTGAATGATTTAAAACCCTAGTGCTTGATGTAACATTATCTGAAAGTCCGTGCTTATGGGAGTGTCTGATTTTTCTGAATGATCCTTAGTTGTTAAATTTAGAAGAGGATCCTTGGTACAAAGTTGATTCAATCGGTTGACTTTTGAATTCAGAAAAGGAGAACTTGTGCTTGTATGGAATGCCAAATGAGACGTGGGAAGTCAACCTGCCTGTTGAGGAAGTGCCTCCGGAACTTCCTGAGCCTGCACTGGGTATAAACTTTGCAAGGGATGGGATGCAAGAGAAGGACTGGTTATCACTTGTTGCAGTACACAGTGATTCATGGTTGCTTTCTGTGGCTTTTTACTTTGGTGCTCGCTTTGGGTTTGGTAAGAGTGAAAGGTAAAATCTGTTCTGTTAATCAGTTTCTGCATGTTATTTACTTTATAGAGTTGATTTATATTGTGCAACTTTATATATATGTAATTTGTTGTGGGTGGATGACTACACCATTTGTTTGAGTTGTTTATGGAAAGCTATGTTACTCGTACTTCAGAACCTGCATCCAACAGCTTATGTTCTCAAGTTATAATTTCATTAATTCTATAAAAGCTAGGATATGGCAATATAGTTTGTGGTTTTGGCTTTTGTCATTGTTGGTCACTTCGTGTTGCCTTGAACTAGATCCAAACTAGATTCAAGGTGTCCTCTCTCTCTCTCTCTCTCTCTCTCTCTCTCGATGTCCTCATTTTTTAGTATGATTTAGATTTTATTTGCGTATGTTTCAGAATCTGCTTTCCTACCAATGATGGCATCATTTTCTTAGACCATTGCCTTTCAATGTTATTGATTTTTCCTCCAAATCATTGACATGACAAAGAAAGAATCCTTTCTGAAGGGCATTGCCTTTCGTATTCTTGATGTTTCTCTCTCCTATCCATTATTTTCGAATGAAATTCTTATCATGTCATTTCCTTAAAATTATATTGTAAGTCATACATTGGTTTTATCAGCAGCTTAGAAGAGTAGCAAGTTCAAGACACCTTATCAACTTTGTCATTCAAAAGCTTGTGGCTGAAATTGCCTGTTCTGCCATGCCAAAAAGTGACTTGTTTGGGTCCAACTGTCTGTATTTTTTGTTGACTTCATCCCAATAGACTTAAAAACTTTTTGGCTTCTATAAGCAAGGTGTGGCAGGTACTTGTATCTTTGGGGGACTTGGAATTGCAAAAAGTTTCCTAGATTTCACCAGTGGGAGTTATTTTTCCTACATTGTGGCTATGGAGTGGACATTCTGCATATGGAAGTCTGATTTCATTTCATTCTTTCTGGTTCTCAAGGGATCACCTGGAGCTATGGAAACTGCTTACTTTATTGGATTTTCTACATGGGCTCTGCCTTTGATGTGGCATTGAACATTCTGCAATAATGGATGATCTTTTGCTTTGTATTTGCCATTTGCATTTTATATTTCCTGCAATGTGAAGTTAGTTAAGTTTAACACATATAATTTTCAAAAAAATATGACATTTCTTTTAATTTTGGTTCTTCAGACTAGCATATGGTATTATAACTTAATTTCTAGAGATGTAGATAGAGTCTTTTGGACAATTGTTTTTATGGACTCTGCTTGTAACTTCCAAATGATTCGTCAACGAGAGTTCTGTTCCTTTTTTTCAGCAACAAAAGTAAAATCTGTAAGTTTAGATGAAATCAATGTAGATTGAAGACATGGTGGCATGTGGTAGATGCATTTATATTATTCTTTTTTTTATATGATGAAACTTTTGCGCTCATTTTGCAATGAACTATGAGATTGCTTTATTATGGCCTTATATGAAACTTTTTGAGGATTAGTATTTCAACTCAATTAAATTCTTACTCAGCATTTATATTGATATTGACAGGAAACGGCTTTTTCAGATGATAAATGATCTACCTACCGTGTTTGAGGTTGTTACTGGGAGTGTTAAGCAGGCAAAGGAGGCTACTCCATACAATAATAGCAGCAAACTTAAACCAAGTGTGAAGATGGTAGGCAAAGATTTTTTTTGAGTAATTTATTATCCTGCTCAGTGGTCTTCTTTTTTTTTTTCAAGTTTTCAATATCTACCACTTGTGTTTTCTTTTTTAGCAGCCGAGGCAGTCTGAGTCTCAGCCCAGAGGAGCAAAGTTGTCATCAAAGGAAGAGGAAGAGAGTGGGGAGGAGGAACAAGAAGAAGAAGAAGAAGAACAGGGAGCAACACTTTGTGGAGCTTGTGGGGATAATTATGCAAATGATGAGTTCTGGATTTGCTGTGATATATGTGAGAGATGGTTCCATGGCAAATGTGTGAAGATTACACCCGCAAAAGCTGAGCATATCAAGCAGTACAAGTGCCCTGGTTGCAGTAGCAAGAGGGTGAGAGTTTGAACTATGGCTTTGAAGTTGAAAGACCAAGCACTCCAATGGAGACTTAAAAAGGTTTAGAACTGTAGTTTAAATTTCAAGGTGACATAAAGTTTGTGGCGCATGTTAAATCAATGAATTAGAATGCTTGCTGACGGGATCTCAGTTTTATAAATTTGTGTTCTTTGCTTTGGTTTATTTATTTTTTTTTTTTTTTGGGGAATTATATCTTACATTGCATTTTCTGGCATCATGGATCTAGCGTGTCTTGTGTTCTGTATGACTCCGGAAACCAAGTATTTTACACCAACATTAACATTTTGACCGCATCTCTTTCACAATGTAGAAAAGAAGGCATTTGCTTGCAGGATTGCTGGAGTATGCTAGATATGCTGCCTTTCATCCGGAAAAGGCCTAAAAATTTTGTTGATTAGGAGAGAACTGAAGAAGCTTCCAAGAAATATTTGAGAGCATGATGTTTCTACAGGTGCTTTCTCTTTCTAAGAGAAGTGGTTGTTGACATTTTTGTTTTATGATAGCCAGCTGAGCTAAATTGGTGCAATGTAATAGAAGAAATGAAATAGCTGGTCACTTCAAAGTTGATGGGCTGTTATTTAGATGCTTACTATGTGAACAGTCAATACCAATGCTTTATGTTTGTAGCTTATGGTGAGGAGTGCATGTGAATCCTTGGCTTTAGCTCTTGTTGCTTAGTTCTTGTTGACTGAGCGGAGGGCATCAAAAGCCCGAGCAGACATACGAGAATGGACTTTAAATTCAGCGTTTATATGGAAGGTGGAACGTTGTATCATGATATGAGAGGTAGTTATGATAAGGTTTAGTTTAAAAGGACGCAGTATCATGATGAAGGGTGGTTATGAACTCGAGATGGGACGTTCAATTGGATTTTAGGTTTGCTTATGAACAATGAATATTGTACCATAACCGGTGGCAAGCCATGCAAATGGGGGCAGACCCTGCAGCAAGCCATCGCTCTAACCATGCACTAGAGCTTTCTACAAGCGTAAAAGGGAAAGCTTGAAAGTCAAATCAAGAAAATTTCACTGCAACAGCAAGCAGGTTTTGTGGCCCAAGCTTAGAGTTTTGAATAGAATCCGCGCAAGTCAAAGAGGGAGTGTAAGTAGTCAAGCCATGCACTAATGTTCTTGAAATTTCGTTGCAGTAATGTCAAGCTAATATTCGACCCCTGCCTGGCCCTAGAGGTTTCGATATAGCTCAACCCGCACGAGTCAAAGGGGGAGTAAACAATCCTCATACTAATGCTTCCAAACGTCATTTAACCTAGTTTAAGAAGAAAGAAATGTCGAAATTTTGTTTATGCATGATTAAAACAGTTACCACTCTGCCACTCTGCATGATTAACAGACTTCAACATAATGTTTCTTTCTTCCATACCTCTTTAAACTGCAGAAATTACTGCTACAAAAATTGCAGCCACTGGCCTTTAAGCACAATAACTAATGAGTGCTACGACACACAGGGGTGTTCCATTCACGCAAGACTACCAGTAGTCATTGCAGGAACACAACCCATCTCTGAAACAGTGGAATCTGTTATTATCTCTTACAATTATTTCCCTCTTTTCCAAGTGCGAGATTATCTTGATAGCCATATGGCAATCCCGACAAACCCTAAGGTTCTTCACCACCCGAATGACTGCTCCAGGTTCACTAATAAGAAGAGCAAAAGCAACTGCCAACTTTTCACTATGCGTCCCCACCATCTCTTCTTTCTCTTCCTCCTCTACATCTCTTAAAACACAGCTTTTATCAGCCATGTAGCCAGCAACCATCATTTTCTTTTTCATTTCTCCCAGTACTCTGTATATGTCATCTGAAAGCTTGTGCGAGTGGTCACCGACTACAAATCTGTGTATCTTGCCTCCATGTTCAACCCAACTCCAACCAGTTGCTTTCGCCACTCCTCCTGCCTTCATCAACCCTCTGATTCTGTCTGCATCTTCCCACCGACCTGCACTTGCATATATGTTTGAAAGCAGAACATAGTTTCCTGAATTCTCTGGCTCAAGCTCAAAGAGTTTATTTGCAGTAAACTCTCCAAGATCAATTCTTTTATGAACTCGGCTAGCATTGAGGAGAGACCCATAGATTCCTGCATGGGGATGCATTGGCATGTTATCTATCAATCTTTTTGCTTCATCAAGTTTGCCCACTCGACTATACAAATCAACCATGCATGCATAGTGATCAATATCTGGATCTTTAATTGACTTGAAAACAGCCTTCCCTTCTTCCAGCAATCCTGAATGACTGCAGGCAGTTAGGATGCCAATATAAGTTATCCGATCAGGTTGCATACTTTCTTGTTTCATCTTTGACAGCAGCTCAAGCGCTTCAGCACCGCTGCCATAAGCTGCAAAGCCTGTAGTCAAAGTGTTGTAGGAAATGACATCTCTATTTTCCATTTCTTCAAAAATCTTCCTAGCCTTTCTCATGCTTCCACATTTGGAGTACATGAAAATCAAAGAATTGCATCCCAAAATGCTCAACCTTATCTGGTTTTCAGTTAGATAATTTGCCACCCAGTTGCCTAATTCCAGAGCCCCCAAATGGCCACAAGCTGAGATTACGCTCACCATGGTAACTTCATCTGGTTTTAAATCCTTACTGGCTATCATCTCTTTGAAGAGCTCTATAGCCATTGCTGACTCTCCATTCTGCGAACAACCAGCAATAATTGAGTTCCACGAGATAACGTTCTTTTTGGGCATTTGATGAAAGAGCCCCATAGCTGAAGCCAAATCACCAACCCTTGTATAAGCAGCAATCATTGCATTCCACGTAACCAAGTTCCTGCATTCACCCAAACCATCAAAGATCTTCCTGGCCATATTAAGGTTCCCACACTTGGCGTACATATCAAGAAGCGCAGTCTTGACAAAATGGTTTGGACAAGTGCCCTTCTCAGCAATCCTCTTGACAAGCGATTCAGCTAGACCAGGATCACCAAGCATTGAGCACGAAGAAACAACAGCAACGCAAGTTGTTTCATCTGGTGTGAGTCCAAAACTCATCATCTCATTAAACAACTCTATGGCTTCTTGGGCAAGCCCATTGTGAGCATAACCTGAAATCATTGCATTCCACGAAACAGTGCTTTTCTCTGGCATTTTATCAAAATACCTCCTTGCACTCTCTAAATCGTTTACTTTTGCATACCCAGAAACCATTGCAGTCCATGTAATCACATTTTTCTCCGGCATCAAATCAAACAACTTTTGCGCCTCCACTTCATTCCCCCAATTCCAGTAACCTGAAATAATCGAATTCCAATCCGCAATAGTTCGCTCAGGCATCATATCAAACAGTTCCCTAGCAGACTCAATAGGCCCATATTTGCAATAAAATCCCATTACTGCATTTTGAATATATTTATCATAATTAAGACCCCTTTTCAACAAATGGGCATGGAATTGAATCCCCGCTTTACCAGAGGATTTGATCAATAATGGGTACACAAAAGCCACAGGCTTTACATTGGCCTCCTGCATTTGATCAAAGAGTGCAAAAACCTCATTTGTAGCACCCATTTGGGAGTGATACTTGAGCATATTGCTACAGACAAAGACATCAGGTTGGGGGGCCAAATAAAAAACCTGGGTGGTGTAGCGTGGCGCTGCATGAAGGCGCGTGCAAAGATGAATGAGTTGTGCCACCCAGAAGTCCTGGTTGTGGAGGGAGTTTTGAATGAGTTGTGCATGGAGTTGTTTTAGTTGGTTTTGGCTCCTTATTTGCTTTGCTATAAAGTTGAAGTGCGACATGGGTGACTGATGTAGGCATTTTCGTTGCTAATTGATTCGCATGACAAGCGAACAATTGTCTTGAGTCAATTGTTACTGTGGAAGTATATATGTGAACGGTCCATGCCAATTCACGAGCAAATATATGCATTGGCGTACATGAATAACAAAATATACCTTCTTCATCTCCTACATTTCTAGGTTTTAGATTCTCTGAGTGTTATTATTAGGACTATCAATGAGGCCGAGCTCGGGTTGGCCCGATAAACCTGACCATTTAGTGAGCTGGTCTAAATTTGAGCCTAAAAAATAGGCCCGAATTAAATATGAGCCGAGTTTGGGCCTTATTAGATTCAAACCCGATATAGACCCGACCCTTTAATTACCTATATATCTAATATTTATATTTTGATATTATGTATAATTATATATCTAAATATATTATTACTAAATACTAAATATATATATAAATTACAAAACACAAAAATACATCTAAAGACTCTTCCATGAGCTTTCTTGAGAACCAATATTAGTAATGCATAACTAAATCTCTAACTTTTCTTATTGGTTGAATAAATTTTTGTATTGGCATAATATTTGTTGATTTCTTTTTGGTCTACAAACACAAATCATCAAGCATATTTGGATTTAAATCACAAGATTATAAAAAAAAGTTTCAACTTTTAAAGATGTATTGGCTTATAATCGCATGTTTTATTACTATTGTTCATGCATTTTGAACGAATTAAATATAAATATTGTTGAAAAATTTTTGTTTATATACTTTTTAAAAACTATTATTTGTTCATGTTTAGTTTTCATATTATAGTCTTGTAAATGTTAAATTAGTTTTACAACCTAATAGTTATAGTAATTATATTAAGAAAATTAAGGAGTAATAAGTGAGCTTGGGCTAAACCCAATGAAAGCTCACAACCCGAATATTATATGAGTTGAATATGAGTTTCACATTTATGAACCTGAAACTCATAGCCCGAAACCCGAAAATGTTTCAAATTAAATGAGCTGAGCTTGAGCTTATCAAAGCCCGACTCATTAGGCCCGATTGACAGGCCTAATTATTATCTTAATATCTATAATTATTGTTTCAATGTTTATATTTGTTGTATCAATATTTATATTGCATGGTGCAATTGTCACTAGCAGTAAGAGAAGATAGCGGATCCTATTTTTAGCTTTGATGCTCAAGCTTTTATATATACATGTGTGTGTATTCTTTTGATAGAAAGGGAATAAAACATTTTCCAACAAATGGCTGATTACAAACAATCAAATTGTAGTTGGTTTTTTTTAATCTTTTTTCAATAAGAGAAGGATGAAGCTTAAGAAGTAAGAAAAAGACAAGGAATTTAAACTCTTTTTTTTTCGGTCTCAATCTTAGTCATTAGATCAATACTTCCTCAATAAACTAAGTCATCGGTGGATCAGCACATCTACGAGTGGCATGTTTAAGTTGGGTTAGACAAGCAGAATTCATCATATCCACTGTATCTTCTTATTCAGATTCAATGATAAACTTCGTCATGCTTCTTTCCTTGGCTATCTTTGATCCTCCTGCTCTCAAGTATAATATATTTAGTTTGCTATTTGGTTTGATGATCAATCCTCCTGCTCTCAAGTATAATATATTTAGTTTGCTATTTGGTTTGATGATCAAGTGAGTGTAGGGTTGCAAACGAGTCGAATCGAATCGAATTTTGACCTAATCGAATCGAGTCTAAATTTAGCTTTATCGAGTTCGAACTTGACAAGTTGCCAATTTAAAGCTCAAGCTCGAAAAAATAAAAAGAATTATTTTATTTTTTAAAAATAAATAAAATAATAATTTTTTCTTAATAGATAATAAAATATTAGAAAATTATATGTAATATTACTATTAAAATAAAAAATAATATATATATACTCGAGTTTGTAAGCTAACGAATTTAACATTTTTGAACCCGAGTTCGATATTAATCGAGTTTTGACTCGATCGACTCGCAAGCGGCTTCATTTGCAGCCCTAAATGAGTGTAGTAAATTGTTTATATTGACCGATCAACACCGTTTGAAGTTTGAACTCACAAAAAATATATATATATATTGGATCATGAATTGTTTATAACACTATATAAGTTCAAATATGTATTGAATGCGAGTCACCCAAATAAAAACACTAAGCCCATTTCACCAATGGGTTGCGTGTACATTTCTCGAAAGCCCAACAACAAATGTGATGCGAGACGCGGAAGCTACTTCGGATCTAGAGGAACACGATGAAGATTTTACGGAGTTGAACCCGAACTTGGACCACTCAAGAACAGATTTAACGGTAGAGGACGCCACAATCAAGTATGTGTGCTTGATTGATAAGTCAAGAACAGCTTAGGATCAACTCTAGGATGTTCAACTTAGCTTTTACAAGCTAAGGGAATTTGCCACAAGAAATGGACGAAATTCTGGAAATTTTATTCAATACTCTCAAAAACTGAATGTAACATGCGGCTTGAGGCTATTAATAGCCGTGACTAAGACCTAATAAAATGGAAAAATAACAAGGAAAGTTCGGCCAGCCCCTTGGGCCTATACTTGACCGAAAGCTAGCCCAACTAACTATAGATCATAAGCTTCGGGGGCGTTGCCCCCGAACCCCCACCGGGGGCTTCGCTGCGCCCCCGGGCCCCCAAGCCAGTGGCGCGTCACCCCCTTGGACCCCCGACTCGCTGACCGGACAGCGAGATCCCCGTACGGCTCAGCGAGGGTACTTAACTGCGGCTCAGCCCGCCGTTTGGAGCTTGAACACTCGCATCTTCAATTGTAAGCAGCATTTTAGTAGTCGTGCAAGGATATTCCAACTCAATTCCTTCAATGCCCGGTTTCTCTTGGGTTTGGATGGCACGTACCAAGGCTTGGAGGGACTCCTTGAATCTTTTAGCTCGTGCTCGTGTCACTGGGCCTTGGGGCACCTTCACAGGGTCTACTTGTACACTTTGGGCCTCGTGCTCAACCGCATCATTCCCCTCCTCTTGAAAAGGATTTGCCCTCAAATCGTACTCGTCCCCTGCAATAAATGGACTTAGATCAGCAACATTGAATGTAGCACTAACAGTATACTCACCAGGCAGATCTAAGCGATATGCGTTGTCGTTGATGCGCTCAATAACTTGAAAAGGCCCATCTCCTCGTGGTGACAGCTTGCTTTGCCGTTGTTTTGGAAACCTCTCCTTGCGCAAATGTAACCAGACCCAATCACCTGGTTCAAAGACAAGCTTGCGCCTGTGCTTGTTAGCTTGTTGGACATATTGGGCCGTCCTCCTCTCGATGTTGGTACGAACCTTGTCATGTAATGATCTCACGAACTCAGCTTTCTTCTTGCCATCTAAGTTCATATGCTCAGAAGAAGGTAATGGCAACAAATCTAAGGGAGTTAAGGGGTTCAAACCATACACAACTTCAAAGGGCGAGAATTGTGTAGCACTATGCACAACCCTATTGTATGCAAACTCAACATGAGGTAGACACTCCTCCCATGACTTGATATTTTTCTTTATGATTGCACGTAGGAGTGTGGATAAAGTCCTATTGACTACTTCAGTTTGTCCGTCCGTTTGAGGATGACTAGAGGTAGAGAACAACAGTTTGGTTCCCAACCGACCCCATAAAGATTTCCAGAAATAGCTCAAAAACTTGACATCTCTATCGGATACTATTGTCCTAGGTATGCCATGCAAACGAACAACCTCTTTAAAGAATAAATCAGCAATGTGTAAAGCATCATCCGTCTTATGACATGTAATAAAGTGAGCCATTTTGGAGAACCTATCTACCACAACAAATATAGAGTCATGGCCACGCTTTGAACGAGGTAAACCAAGCACGAAATCCATGGAGATGTCAACCCAAGGTTGGTGAGGTATGGGTAAAGGAGTATACAAACCGTTTGGGTTGACCCGAGACTTAGCTTTGTGGCACACACCACATCTTTCAACAATCCTCTCCACGTCCTTGCGCATGCGAGGCCAATGGAAGTGTTCCTGCAATACAGCTAATGTCTTGGTGACACCAAAGTGTCCTATTAGTCCACCACTATGTGACTCCTGAATAAGTAAGTCACGTATGGACCCTCGAGGAATGCACAGCTTGGTAAGATAAAATAAGAACCCATCATGTACAAAGAACTTTTCAAAGTCAGATTTTCCCCAATTCGCATAAGCGTTGGCAAAATCCAAGTCATCCTTATACAACTCCTTCATGAGCTCAAAGCCTAGGAGTTTAGCATCTAAGGCAGTGAGCAAAATGTGTCTCTGAGATAAAGCGTCAGCTACTACATTAGACTTACCTGTTTTGTATTTGATGACGTATGGAAAAGACTCGATGAAGGCTACCCATCGGGCATGCCGTTTGCTCAGCTTTTGTTGTCCTTTTAGGTGCTTGAGAGACTCATGGTCAGTTTTGATGACGAATTCCCGGGCACGTAGGTAGTGTTGCCATGTCTCCAAAGCACGTACGAGGGCAAACATCTCCTTGTCATAAGTTGAATAGTTGAGGACCGCGCCATTTAATTTCTCACTAAAGTAGGCAATCGGTCTCCCTCCTTGCATGAGTACGGCTCCTACTCCTACACCTGATGCATCACATTCCACTTCAAAAGTGAGATCAAAGTTAGGTATTGCAAGGAGTGGTGCATGTGTGAGTTTGTGTTTCAGCAATTGGAAAGCCTTATCTTGGGCTTCCCCCCAAAAGAACTTCTCGTTCTTCTTTATGACCGCGGTAAGAGGTGCAGCAATGGTGCTAAAATCCTTCACAAAGCGACGATAGAAGCTTGCTAATCCATGAAAGCTGCGCACATCACTTACAGAGGTAGGTGTTGGCCACTCTTGGATGGACTTAATCTTCTCTTCATCTACATGAATGCCCTGCGCACTTACAACATATCCTAGAAACACAACACGATCAGTGCAAAATGTGCACTTCTTAAGGTTGGCATATAGCCTTTCCCTTCGAAGTACTGCAAAGATGGCTTTGAGGTGCTCAAAGTGTTCCTCTAAGCTTCTACTATAAATCAGAATATCATCAAAGTAAACCACTACAAATTTCCCAAGAAAAGGTCTCAAAACATGGTTCATCAAACGCATGAAGGTACTAGGTGCATTAGTTAAGCCAAATGGCATTACTAACCACTCATATAGACCATGTTTAGTTTTGAAAGCGGTTTTCCACTCATCTCCCTCTTTCATTCTTATTTGGTGGTAACCACTTTTCAAATCAATTTTAGTGAATATAATGGCACCATGCAATTCATCTAACATATCATCTAACCTAGGGATAGGGTGACGATATTTTACCGTGATTGCATTGACTGCTCGACAGTCGGTGCACATTCTCCACGCTCCATCTTTCTTTGGCACGAGAATCACTGGTACAGCGCATGGACTTAGACTTTCTCTAGCCCAACCTTTCCTTAGCAATTCCTCCACTTGCCTTTGCAATTCCTTTGTTTCCTCAGGACCCATTCTATAGGCTGGTTTGTTAGGCAATGGTGCTCCAGGAATGAGATCGATTTGGTGCTCGATTCCCCTTAGCGGTGGTAGTCCATCAGGTACATCCTCAGGAAATATGTCCTCAAATTCCTGCAAGAGAGGTAAAATAGTATAAGGCAAGGAGTCAGTGGGTATGGATGAAGTGACCAACTCTTCTTTGCACACAAGCACAAGTAAGAGTTGGTTGGAAGACAAAGCTCGCCTTACATCTTTGGCTTTTGCTAGCAAGCTTAGCTTCCCCTTATTTTCTTCTCTCATAGCCGACCCACTTGTTGCCTTTTTCTTCCCTAGGGTTTCGGCCCTACTCTCTCCTTTTTCTTCCTCACTTTTCTCTCGCTTTTTCCTCTCAAGTTCTAGCTCATACTCCCTTTGGAGCCTCATTTGATCTTCATACACTTGTTTTGGGGTGAGAGGTACAAGTGTCACCTTTCTATTGCAATGAGTAAAGACATATTTATTAGCTCTTCCCTTGAATTCGACATCGCGATCATATTGCCAAGGCCGTCCAAGAATGAGGTGACTTGCTTGCATTGGCACGACATCACAAGTAACCTCGTCTTCATACTTGCCAATTCGGAATGGCACTTTTACTTGTCTAAACACGCGGACTTCCCCTTCATTGTTCAACCATTGAAGGCGATAAGGTCTTGGATGTTTGATAACTTGGAGCCCTAGCATTTCTACCATGAGTAGACTAGCGACATTGGCACAACTCTCACTATCAATAACAACACTACACACCTTATCCTTGATATGACACCTTGTGTAGAAAAGGTTGTCCCGTTGTACCTCCAGTTCCTCCTCTTTGGCGCGGGTAGTGAGGACTTTTCGAACCACTAGGCATCCAATCTCCTCATGCGTAGGTATCTCCTCACTCGATTCATTCTCTTCCTCTTCTAGAGGCGGTATCCCCTCGTACTCCTCTTCCTCATCTGATACAATTTCCCCATTTGGCAACATCAGCATGGTCCTTTGGCTGGGGCATTGAGAAGCGATATGGCCAAATCCTTGACACTTAAAACACTTGGTGTCTCGACCACGCGGTTTGGTAGCTGCATTATTAGCCTTAAAGTCAGGCTTGGGCGTTGCCTTGGAAGGGAGGCCATTCGGCCTTGGAGGGTAAGAAGGAGCTGCGGCTTTCTCCTCCCTTTTTGGTTGAGAAGTGCGCCAATTTCCAGCTGGATAAGTAGTGCTTTGTCGCGCAGTACCCCTCCTCTTGAGGCGTCGTTCAATTGTAACCGCCTTCTCGAGCATTTCATTCATGTCGAGGTAGTGTTGGAGTTCCACTACTTCGGCAATCTCGGGCCTCAATCCATGTAGAAAACGAGCCATAGTGGCCTCTCCATCTTCACGCAAATCCGCCTTCATGATGGCCATTTCCATCTCCTTGTAATAATCCTCAACTGACATGGACCCTTGGTTGAGAGCTTGTAGCCGACGGTGTAGATCTCAACTATAGTAGCTCGGAACAAACCTTTTTCTCATCAGACTCCTCATTTCCTCCCAAGTTTCCACAGGTCTCTCACGATTTCTCCTTCGGCTTAGTCTAAGTTGGTCCCACCAAATGGAGGCGTAGTCAGTGAATTCTACGGCTGCTAGTTTCACCTTTTGCTCCTCCGTATAGGTGTGGCATTCATAGACTAACTCAATTTTTCGTTCGCATTCCAAGTACGCCTCGGGGTCCGACTTGCCTTGGAATGAGGGAATCTTGAGTTTGACACCTTTAATGGTGTCATCTCCTCGACGTTGGAACCTTTGATCATTTTGGTACCTTCCCTCAAACGCTTCCTCTTCATCGTTTGAGTATGCCGATTCTTTGCCCTTACTCGGGGTAGGTGGAGGTCTCGAGTTCTCCAACTGATCAATTCGATCATGCAATGGTTCAATTTCATTCTTAAGCAATCGTTTGAACTCCCCCATCATGGCTTCCAACTGTAGTTTGATGTCCATGGTTTGGCTACCCACTCCACTAGACATATTTAGTTCACCTGCAAAACAAATAAACAAAAACGATTTCCTCTCTTTTTTTTTTTTTTTAATACAATGTATAGGTCACTCACACTCGTGTTTCACTCAAGTGTATCACTCTCTAATAATCTTACCAAGCAATTCCTTGGCTTGCTAGTTGCTCGAGTTGAACAAACGAGGCGTCACCGCAGTGTACGTTCTTGACTAGTCAACAAGTGACACACAAGCTAGTAGCAATAAGTGGAGGTGAATGACTGAAGACCTAGACACGACTCAAGACTCAGAATATAGCTGGACAATAACTAACGACTCAAAAGAAAGTAAGACAATTAACTTGAATGCTGAAATTTTGAAAATCCTAGAAAACTCTACCCGAAACCCAAATTTCTGGAATGTGTTGAGCTGCTGGTCCGTGGTCTTTTTGGTCCGTGATCTGATTTGGACACTTGGGGTTGCCAAGATTAGAAACCGTGGAGTTTGGTCAGATTTGGGAGTCCCAAGTGGTCCAAATTCGAAATTTTGGGGCTAGTCAGATTTGGAAGTCAGATTTTGCACAAAATTTGGTAAACTTGTAGGCTGTCAAGAATTGGATGTTGTTCAGATTTGGAAGTCCAAGTTTGAATCAGATTTGGTGGCTTGAATGCTGACCAAGACTAGGGCTGTTCAGATTTGAAAGTCCAAGTTTGAATCAGATTTGGTCTTCTCCAGCTCCACATCATCAGCATCAAAATCTCCAATCTTACCATCGGTACTCCTGTATTCCGCACCTGACCTGATGACAAATTCAATGTCAACTGATGATAATGCAGATCATGTTTTGAAGTTGGGACCAAAATAAACTCTATCAGCACAAGTCACTATATGATTATGATAATTGAAAGAGATGGAATGTGAAATTGCAGGCTACCTTCTGTTCCATTTATTCTGGTGCAAGTTGTTTTTCTTTTATTATGTTGTGATTAAAGAATATAGATGTGTCTATCGATTAATCATGTATTTGAAACAAAAAAAAAAAGAAGCCAAACATGAAGAACAGCAAATACGTTTACCCTGGTGCAAGCAGTTTCTCTTTTATTACATCATGATTAAAGAATATAGAAGCATCTCTCGATTAACCATTTATTTGATGGAAAGAAGCCAAAGATGAAAAGCAGCCATAGAGAACTTAATATTTATCAACAGATGGTGCTATATGAATAAAGCATAAGTGTAAACTCAAAAATAAGAAACATGGAAAAGCCAATGATCCATTTATGCTCTTATCCATCCCTCGTAACATGGTAATACAAGCATTAAGTTGAAACCACAGTAGCAATCATTATAATGGTATTGAGCTACCACAAAATCTAGATGCAAGGATAATTTAAAGAATGACTAAAACTCACATGTGGATTTCAACAGCCATGCACCACCAAAAAGACAACGCATGTTTCAGTTTCTGATTTTGAAATAAAACCACTAGTTGGTCTAATTTTTTGCTTTTTGCAAGTACTTCAGTCAAGGAACCCAATGAAGGTGATAATTCAAAAATCGTGCTGATTAATTGCATATCCAGGACGCGCAATTCCATTAAGTAGCAAGTTCAATGAAACTTCAAAAAGACCCAAAAGGACTCACTCTCCGTGCAAGGAAGCATGATAGATTCTTTTGTAGTGGTTGTAAACAGCAACAGATAGCACCTGTCCATCAGGAAAAAGAAAAAATTCACTGGCACGTTCAAAATCATAAACTGGTGCAAAAGCTTCATGGTTTCATTCAACGGGATTTCAGTTCAGACATATCAAACCTACATAGAAGAACACTTGTGCAACTGCATTCTAAATCAATCATTCATGGGCTTTCTTTTGGTAAGTAAACTAAACGTACAATTGATCAATAACTAAAATTGAATCAAACATACTAACACTTCACGTAAACTCATATTTCACCAAAACTTAGTGCTTAAAACCCATAATTTTTTGAATCATTATTGTCCATTTAAGCGACTGTACTAGTATAGTACACAACAAAACCTTAAAAGTTTCGACAACTCAAAACTTAATAAAAGGCTTACTCCATCCCATCCAAACCCATCCCAAGCAGCCAATAACCAGTTTCTTAAAACCACCCACTATTCTTCTTCCTCTAATAGTTGCATTACCATTCAGACATAAGAGATAACAAAAGTAGAAAGAATCACCAAATTGAAAAACAAAATTGCAAACCTTTTTAGCTCTCTCTTGTCCAACAACAAAGTCATCAAGCCCTCTAGATATCTCCTTCGGAGTCGGCAACTCCTTGCCCAAATTAGCCCCTTCAAATTCCCTCCTCCACTCCCCACCTCCACCCATGCGGCCCCACAGCTTTCTCCTCGCACCTCTCCACCGCTGTTACAACTCCCCTCCTTCACATTGTTACTACTAGCACTACTCCCGCCACTATAGTTCCTCAGCTTCTCCCAAATCTTCTTCCCGTTCTCTCCTCCTCTTCCTCCAGTGCCACCACTTTCACTATTCCCCTCCATATCCACCTTCCCTCCTTTAAGCCTCCCAAGCTCAATAAAACTCCCCTGCAACGGTTCCAACTTAAACGGCCTAAAATAAAACGCCGTACGGCAGTTGGGGCACAAGTTCACCGCCTGGTAAACTCCGGGCTCGCTCCGAGAAATGGATAACGGGCGATTGGAGAACAGAACACTCATGAGCTTCGAGCAGCGCGGACAGTTCACTTCCGCTTTAATATGATCGTAATTATCCGAACTCCCGTGCCATTTGTGACGTTCTTGGATATGGCTAACAAACCCTAGGGGTTCAGGTGGGGTCGGGGCTGGGGACTGGGAAGTATTCGGAGATTTTGCTGAGGCTTTTACGAGGGGAAGAGTGGAATTTGGAGGATGAAAGGGAGAGTGTGGTAATCTTTGGGGCGAGGGAACGGAGCTTGGTTTTGTACCGGAATATGCCGGACATCTTCCCGTCTTCGGAGTCCAATAGTTGGAGTTTCAGAGCATATTACTGGCCGGGGAACTGACAAAGTGATGACACAAATACTAATAGGAGGCGGTGCGAAATGCGGCGGTGTTTTCGAGTCAGCGAATGGATTTCCACCATCCGCTAGCCACTAAGGGGTGCTCTCAGTCTCAGCTGCTGAATTCGATTAAAATAAGGCTGACTCAATGATCGAGTGGAGCTCGAGTTTTAGCTCCGTTTGACGAAGAACGTTTTTTTTTTTTTCATGTTTTTATTAGACAAAATTTTATTTTGATAGAAATATTTAGTAGAAACTAGAAAGTCAAGTTTAAAACCAAAAGCTTGCCATTGCCTTGCATTTTTTGAAATATTATTTCTCGTAAAATGAAATAAGGTAATAGTTGTATAAATCAAAAGCTTAATCTGTTCCAACATTTTTGTTTTGGCTAAACTTGCCAACTCGGGTTTTTCTAAAAAGGAAAATTATTTAAAACGCTTTTTATGTTTCGTTAAGTGAATTTTTCGTCCTTTATTTTTAAAATAATAACTTTATATCTCTAATCAAATCAAGTCCAAATCTAGGTTTTCGACTATTCTTTAGTATGAAATCACAACGTGATTCACATACAATCACTTTTTATATATAAAAGTTAAATTTCACCTTTTCGAAGGCGAAAAATAAATATAAATTAGGTTTGATCGAACGTTTTTAGATTACAAAAAAGATATGGTTCGAATTATATCTTGTTCTTTACTTGTTTAGAGACAAAATTAAATATGAATTGGACTTTTGTGCCACTAAAAAATAATCATTTGTGGGTTACATAATGAATTTAAAGTAAAAAGTTATTGAAAATGTAAGTTAAAATCAAAATTTACCGATTTGACTTCATTATAAACATAAAATTACAATTTTATTATAATAGTGAATGACAAAAGAATTCATTTAGGGTCCGTTTGTTTCGGGTGAAAATGTTTTCCAGGAAAATATTTTCCTAATTTCCCGTGTTTGGTTGCACAAAAGTTACTGAAAACATTTTCCTATATAAAATATTTTCACTCATCTTATGGAAAACAACTTCCCTTCCAAACTTACTGAAGTTATTTTCCGAAATGCATGCATCCCGCCTGTAGTATGTTTCAAACTTATTGAAAACATCTTGTAGTATGTTCTTTTTTTTTTTAGTGTAAACAGGAGAATTCGAACCCAAGACCTCTTCCTTACACTCCCTCCCCCGTACCACCCAACCCAACCCAACCCCCCCTAGTATATTCAAAATAAAAAAAATCTCATCCTGCTCATCTTATGCTAGTAATTAATTATGTATAATAGGGACATTCTTTTTTAGAGAAACTTTCAGCAGTGAGAGTGCAAGATATATGTCACAATAAGCATTGCATGTGATTGATATTTGACACTAAATGGCCAGCAATTTGTTTATTGCTTAAAGAAATATTTTTTATTCATATATACATTTTTCCAAGATTTTTTAAAATTAAACAGTGAGATAAATTTTCTTATTTTGCATGGGAAGAAGTATGTAGTTATAATGTGTAGAAAGTAAAGATAGAGATAAAAGTGAAAATATTTCAAAAGTTAAACAAACACCAAAAAAATGAAGTAAGAAAATATTTTCAATAAGCTAACCAAACACCTGAAAATGATGAAAGGGAAATGATTTTCATGGAAAATCACTTCCACGGAAAATATTTTCCTAAGGAAAACATTTTACTTCCAACCAAACAGACCCTTAAAGGAACACTTTTTCCTCTCCAAAATATTTTGGTTGCCAGCATGTCAAGAAACTCGTAATCCATGATCATAGTCTTCATAGAATGTGCTTTTGTTGCCAAAAAGCAGAAGAAAGCTAATTGCATCGTCCTAGTTGTGACAGTGGCCTGCTCTGATCCATCCGTCATTCAACAGCCCAATTAAAAGTAAAATGGCTTTATCCAATGCCTGAAATTACAACAGTTGAAGGTCAGGCGTGCTAAGGGTTGAGGTCAGGAAAAAGGAACTTGTTAGAAATTTCAGTTTTGTGCCTCTATATTTTGATATTCCTATTAGCCTATTACTTTTTTTTTTTTTTTGTCAATACAGGAGGTATTCGGGTCGATCCTTATAGGGCCCCGATTAATCCTTACTGCGGTCCGGGAGAGGAGGCCCACTCCACACCGAACAAGTCAACAACTAGACTCAAATCTTGACCGAAGTCAGGTAGATTGCCATACTTTAAAGAGGGGGAGCGAACCATCCGAGCTACCTGCGGGGGTATTAGCCTATTACTTATTAACTGAAATTGACTCTTTTGTCATCTCAAACTTGTACAACTGCTGCAAACTTAAAATTTGATAACCATGATTCAGTTGCCACTGTATAATACAGTTTCAAAGACATAAGAATATTTCTTTTCAAATTCGAATCTGGGTTCTGCTTCACTTTTGCACAAAGATGTCAACTACAATTAGTTGAAAACCAATTTCAAAACAAAAAGCCTGCCGTTTTTTAAATTTTTTTTTTTAAAGCTTAAGGGGTTTTACCAAGCACACAGAGCGTTACTATTTCTTATTCATTTGCTTATTTTATTTAACTTATGACATGGTAAAAGTATAAATGAAAAACATACATTGACCACATTTGTTGAGGCAAACTAGGACATTTTTTATGCAATGGATATCTTAAAAAAACTTAATTAAAGAAAACCTAACTTGTAGGTTTTTTAGAACACTTAATATTTTTTCCTTCTCCTTTTTTTATGCCAAAAAAAAAATCCATGCTCGAATCATACTACTGATGTGAGGACAGTATTGATGGACGATCCCAATAAGCAATCCATTATCTCAGGAATATATTTTAACCGGTAGTGATGATCGGAACTGAACTCACTCAAACCTATTTTTCTTCTTATATCGTTTATGGACAAATTACAGCATCGTCTCAGTACCAAACGCCAATTGTTATTCGGCAATGCATAATTGTCGCACATGGTTAGGTGCATTGCGATTTCACCAAGACAAATGCTAGGATGATTAAATCTAATGGAAACGACTTATGTTCGATGACTTGCATCCCTAGCTGACAACGGAAACGTAATAAAATGCAAACCTAGCAAATACAATAATATAAAGGATATTTGGACGTAGCTGTCGGGAAGAAAAAGATAATATGAAAGCGAGAAAGGGATTTTTAGCAGACCGGGTGAGACGGAGGCAAGAGGCCAACGCAGCATGAAAATGGCACTTTGATTCTTAAGGTTGGCTACTCAACCAAATATACGGCTTGAAGTTTGAACCTTCTAAATTCTACGCTCCGTAACATTTGTATTAAAGTCGAGGTGCATAAATCCAAGGTTATTTTCTGTCTGGTATCTCAACTGCCAGCGACCAACTTAGTCCGGTTCCCCCTCTATTTTGCATATGCTTTTTCTTGGGATTTCTTGACAGCAACGGTTCGATTTGGTCTTTCTATTTAAACATTCACGACTTTGTCAGATAAAATCTCAACATTTTTTAAAGAATCTCTATGATAATTTAACTAAGGGCAAAAAACATCAGCGGCCATTAAACTATTGGTCAGATCATGTTTTGGCCATCAAATTATTTTTCGTCAATAATTGACCACCAAACAACTTAATCAGTAAACACGCGGCCATTCGATCGATAATTGCTATTAATATATGAAATTAGCACTACACGTGGCAAAGTAAGGGGCAATTTTGTCCAGCAACTATGTGTTGCCCCCGCAGCTACAAACTCCTCAAAACCGTGGAGTTGCCACTGACCACAAACTCCTCCAGGTCACAACTCCCCCATTCTCCTCAACCGTGGAGCACAAGGCCATCTCCACGACCAAAATGGCCCCAGACTCACCTCCGGGGTCCCTGAGCGTAGCCTGCTCGGCGGGCATGGTGAACTGATCATTCTCGAGCTTTCTCAAAACTGTGGAGGAATCAATTGTGGTAAAGGGCACCCTCTCGAGCAAGCAAATAGCGACCATGGACCTGACAAGGGAAAAGGGCCCAACGGCGTCATCGATGAGAAACTTGTCGGCGTCGGAGTTAGGGACCTGAGAGAGAGTTGGAATGCGAGGGACAATTTGGAAGGTTGAGGTTGTTAGGGTTGGGAAGGGAGAAAAGGGAAGGGAGTTGAAGGAAGAGATAGCTTTGAGAGAGAGGTTGCGAGAGGAGACGAGGTCAGGGACTAAGTTTTGGAGAGAGGCGATGAGGTGTAGCTGAGCATTGTGTAAGGCCTCCACACAGGATTCTAGCTGCTGTCGGACCTGTTTGACGGCAGTCATGGAGTCCTTGCTGCTGCCTTCAGATGGCGTCTCCATGTTATGTTTTTCCTTTTCTCTTTTCTTTCTTCCAATCCTAAGGTGAAATTGCAGTAATATGGAGATTGGGCTTAATTAAGGCGTTTGTGGCAGCTCCTGCGTAGTTGGTGGACAAAATTGCCCCTGTGCTTTGCCACGTGTGGTGTTAATTTCACATATTAATAGCAATTATCGATCAAATGGTCACGTGTTTACTGATTAAGTTGTTTGGTGGTCAATTATTGACGAAAAATAGTTTGATGGTCAAAACATGATCTGACCAATAGTTTAATGGCCGCTGAGGTTTTTTGCCCTTTAACTAATGTCCATGCTAGCTAAATAAGGTCCTAAAAACATGGATATTGAGACAGAGAAATTTTCACATTGTCTATTCTTGTACGCTTGGAAAATTTCACATTGTCTTATTTTAAAGTGTAAATTAACCAAGCTAATGAACCCAGACATATGAATAGTTCGATCAAAGGTTCGATTCGAACTCGATATTGATCGAGTTCGAAACACTTGATGAGCTAATCGAGTCAAATTCAAGTAGAATAAAAAAAAATGAAACTCAAGTACTATGTCAAACCTTGTTGAGTTGTTTAATTATAACATAATTTTAAAGTATTTATCATAAAATTATAAAATTTATTAAAAAACCAAACTTAAAAACTCGATTGAGTTTGATTTGATCGAGTTTGAACTTGAGTTCAAATAAGATAAAATAAGATAAGTTTAATCGAATTTGAACTCGAACTCTAGTATTTTTACTGGGGTCATGCACTATTGAAATTCGATTCGACTCGATAGCAGTCCTAATTATATATATTTTTTCTTTTACAATAGTAATAATTTATTCTATTCTTATTATAATCTAAACTATAGGAGAGCGAGAGTCCACTCCAAGGGGAGTCGTAAAGGAATTGGGGATGAACCATCATACTATACAAATGTACTTATGCACGACTGCCTCGGTCCTACACTCCTACTTGGATAAAGTCTTCCTTGCACTTTGGGCAATTAGCGATTTGGTCTTCTTGAGTTGGGTCAACAACTATGCTTTATAGAGCAAGCCGGAGCCTGCTATTGCATAATGGAAATTGAGGAGGGATGATGGAGATGGACGGCAAGACCAATCACAAAACCGGTCATCCTCCTCGCTACCTTTAATTTTTAAACCGTCCAGACAGACACGATTCCCACATTTTTTAATTTCACGTTTAAACCTAGACACATGGTGATGGTGCTTGTTAACAGCGACTCTCATGCAACCGATGTGGTTGCCAACACGAAAGACAAGGGTCTAGAAATTTGTTGAAGAAAGATGAATCTTACGCGACACTCGATTCAATCAACTTGACTAAAAATCAAGAGTAGATTGAATTTGGCTTGGACAAAAGTCCAAAACAACTTCGGTTATTTTTTGATTATCAAATTTGAGCCGAATTTCTATCATGAATAATTTGATTAACGGAGCTATTTGCAAGTTCGACCTTGGCAAGGAAATGCTCGACTCAAATTCCATCGGATTGCACCACCCCATCATCAACATAACCTTTACACCAAATAAACGTCTATTTTGTAATATGACCCGTTACGTTTAGTCTATTACAATCCCATGCAAAAAGCTTTAACGCGATCAGTGATTTATTTTCTTAATAGAAATCATCATTTTCATTCACGAGAGGATTTGCACTAATTGTAGAAAGTATATCATCAAACATGCCACAAAAATAACAAATATGAAGGATTTATAGATGCATCATATTTTAAAAAAAGGAAAAATGGCCATTTTAGTCCACTATCTTTGAGGTTTTAGACAATTTAGTCACTTATTTATCACTATACGACCATCTTAGTCCCTTATCTTTATTTAAAAAATCAATTTATGATCTATAATGGAAAATCTAAAGTTTTTAATGGAGTCAGTCACGTGTGCGGCAAACTCCAACCTATTCGGGTAGTAACCAATTATAAAGGATTGTAAATCTTCGATCTACTCAAGTAGTAATTAAACAAGTTTAAGAACCTTTTTATTTTTTCTCTCAAAATACCCTTCAATTCCTCCTTACATCATTTTCATCCCTCAACTGTCACTCACATGATTTGAACTTTGAATTTGACATTGAAGAATTTGGAAAGAATTACGCCACAATTAAGAAACTTGGTAGAGAAAAATTAGTTACAAGTTACAATCATCACCAATGGTCCCAATTGATTATAGGTGTAAATCAAATAAATTTAATGTCACCCTAATGTCCTGTCGGTTAATTAAGAAAACGAAAAGGAAAAAGCCCGACGGAAAGATACGTAAACCCAAAATTGCAAGCTGATCCCAGCAGAAGCTGAGCTGACAAATCTCCAGTGAACCGCACTTCCCCACATCCCAAAATTACCCTTCTCCGTCCCACGTGTCCTGTTCCTTAGATTGCAGTTCCAACTGGACTACTCCCGCCTGGACCCCACTCATCTTCACCCTCCACTTCACAGATCCCCCTCGCCAGTCGCCACCGCCACCCCCCTTTCTGTGGCTCCCTCTCTCCCTCTCATTGCCAGAGTCCATAGAGAAGGAGAGAGAGAGAGACAGAAAGTGAGAGAGAGCTTCTCTCTCTTCCTCTTAACCTCCGTTAACGTAATGATTCCCTCCCTCCACCCCTAGCCGCCTGTAATTTCCTTCGTCAATTCCAAAGCTCCCCCCCCCCCCAATACGTGTATATATATATATATATATATATATATATATATATATTATATCCCCATCGCCAATTCCCATTTTTCCATTCCCCTTTTCAAATTCTGTGATTTTATTTTATTTGTTTTCTCTCTAGAGCAGAGATGAAGCTCAAGCATCCGTCCAACTCGACTTCCAAAACCTTGTCAGCAACGACGTCGTCTCAGGACGCCAGGCTCCTCGTTCGTGAGACGCTTCGAATCAGCGCCAACCTCGCCTCCGCGCCTCGTCCTGCTCTTCCTCCTCCGCCTATTTCCGCTGCCGCCGATGGAAATGTCGCCACCTTCGGACTTGTCGAGGAGCAGTTTCTCAATTCTAGCCTGAGGTTGATATGCCGCGAGGAGATCGATGGTCGCCGGTGGGAGTACTTTGCTGACCTCGATAACTCCAAGCAATTTAGGAAGAATTCCATTCGTGCTGTTAGCTTGCATTCTCGTCAGGCTCCTGGCCAAGTAAGTTTTTGTCTTTCCCAATGTACCATTCCACAAATTAAATTTCTCTTTTGCTTTTCCCTTGCAAATTGGGTATTTATTAACCGGAACCTGAGTTTGCAAAACTGCACGATCAACTTTTGGCAAATCCAAAGAGGTGACCAGACTAGTACCTTGATATGTTTAACATCAGTAGTAGCTATGGTTTCTTTTATTTTATTTTTTATTTTTTTACCAAATATGTGAATCATTGGTTTAAGATTGCATTTTGTCCCATCATTTTACAGGAGAAGAAAAAAAAGAATTGATTTTTTTGAGCTTTTGAATTTGTATTTGCTGCAGGAGTTGATGGCATTTATAAGATCGTATGTTGTGCCAGAAGGTTTTCCTGATTGTGTTACTCCGTCGTATGTGCCGTACATGACATGGCGAGCTCTGAAGGTTGTCTTTTGGAATTTACGTTGACTTGGATGTGATTTTTAGCATCGTAGTGATTTTTTCACCTTAACTCTGTTACTATGTGCAAAGTAATTACTAAGATGTATGTCAACTGTAGCACTTTTTTGGTGGAGCGATGGGTGTATTCACGACACAAACTCTCTTGAGTTCAGTTGGAGTTTCTAAAACAGGGCAGCCCCGGTGCTGTAGCTATCAACTGGATTCTCAAGGTATTTAGTATGTTAGCATGATTTAAGAAAGATTCTGCTTGCGTGTTGAAAATGATGCGGCTCAACATAAACCTATTGGAGGTGTTTTAAGTCATTAAAATTGGATTTTGCTAGTCTCTCTATGTTTTCTTGATGCTTGAAATTACCAAAAAAACATTTGTCAGCTGCTTTTGTAGCCTTGCTTAGCCTATTGTAAGGTTACGAAATGAATACTCCATGACCATTTGATCCATGACTCCTTCATTTAATTTGAGTAATAATATACATTTGTGAGGTCTACATTCCTTTTCCCCACACTATAATTGATTTAAAAGAGGTCTTACTTTGACTCCAATGGAAAAGCTTGTGATAAAAGTTTCTTCAAGTTTATATGCTTCAATGCATATGATCCATCTCATATAAGGTGTGGATAGAACTGCTTCAAATAAGTTACTGTTGTTTTTCCTCCTAAAATACCTCGACATATGATGTATCACGCATCGTAAAGCAACGTTTGAAAAGTAAACAGTTGCATCCCTGTCATTAGAATTTGGATTGACTAGGGAATTTAGAGATCTATACTCAAGTCACCTGGTGGATTGCATTTCTTGAGAACTGGAAATTATGCGAAGCGTGAGATATGCGCTTTTTGGATGTTCTAGATTGTGCACAGTATGGTGTTTACAATTTTTTTTGGCTGATTTATCTTTTATTTGTTATTGTTTATCCTCCTGTATTTTATCTGATCTTAAATCTAGTGCCTTTTAGGTTCATCCAAGTTGATACTCTAAAGATTATTGATCCTCTGGTTTGCCTTATTTGTAGGATGGTGCTGGTCGTGTTGGAAAGATGATTTTTGCACGTCAGGGGAAAAAATTTGATTCTGATCTTAAACAGGTAATATGCTCTTCCTTTCACCCTTTTCTCATGCTGGATTGGAGAATTGGGTGAAGGGGGTGTTCTGTGGAAAACTAAATATCTGCAATATCGTTTGTCACTGGACGATGCTGTATTAATGATTCTTTGACTGTGACAACTATGTCTTGCAGCTTAGATTTGCTGGTGATCTGCTAATGGAGTTAGGAGCGGGTGTAGAATTGGCAACTGCAGCTGTGCCCAACTCTTTCTTCCTATGGCTTGTGCTGCAAATGTTGTTAAGGTGATTGAGTGACTATCATCTCATGTGCTATTTATCTCATTGCCATCTATAGGTAGATTAGTTATTTCACCCAAAGTGACCAAACCTCCCAGAAGGGTAAAGGTAGGCTATGTTTCTGTTTTACTGTCATTTTTAGTCCCATTATGTTCTACAGTTGGCCTGATTTGCGAAACTGTGTCTGCATGATAGGTTAAACAAGGAACCCCTGTACGTTCGAATAAAGCCGTAAGATTTTCATGGTTTGGAGAGTGTGCAAAGGCGTCAAGAACAGAGAGTAGATTCAAAATATAGTGGGGAATGAGACAGGAACACAAAGTTCAAGAATCATGAGATCCCGTCTTCAATTCTGTACACTTGCTGCTGCTTATTTCCTCATTTCCACCATTTTTTTATAGTATGAGATATGATGTAAAGCTTTTTGACAAGCTGGGCATATGAATATTTTTTGGTCCAGCCAATTTTTAGTGATCAATAAAAGTAAAAGGGGGACAAAAAAAATTTTTTTTTTTTGGGCACTTTGGACAGCAGTTAACAAGGGAACGATTCAAGTGCCAATGTCCAATGCTCCAATACTAGTATATATATCTTCAATGTTCAATGTCCAAAGCAGTCAGTTATAGTCTAATGTGAAATAATGAAGTTTGATTGCAAGAAAATACTACTAGTAGCTAATTTTTGCTCATTAATTCTTGATACAAATATAAGAACTGATTTCTCGTGGTAGTTTGAATTGGATTAGGTAATGTTCATATGATTTGGTTATAGGTAAATAATCATTTTAAGTCTTGTATATTGTTCTAGTAATTAACACAAGGAACAAGAATAAAATTTGGAAGTGAATAGATGTTAAAAGAGGGCTCCCACGGGTAGCTCGGTCGGGACTGATAAGTCTGTCTTTACGGTAAGGTTTCATGTTCGACTCCCGCTGTAGTAAAATTGTTGACATCCTTGGCCAGGGTTCTGCTGGCTTTAGGGGGATTAGTCTGGCAAAAAAAAAAGACTGGGACACCCCCTAAGGGGAAAAAAGAAAAAAAGAGAATGTTAAAAGAGGGAGAATGCACAAATTTTAATAGGTAACATCTATTTAAATTAGCACATCCCTGATCAAATTCGACACAACAACGTGAATTTAAGTCCAACAAGAAAACATGCACCTTCCATTAAATTGAACAATTGAAGATACCTACACTGAGCTAATTGAGATTATTTCAAACAAGCATGACAAGATTATGAGGAAAATCCACAAACTTCTTGCAGAGAGCAGAACATTTTTAGTAAGCATGGTAACAAGGAGTTGGGCCGCGTCGTTTGTTTTATGGTGACGGGAGGCCCAAAGTGTAGGAGAGACCCAGAAGAATGACAACCCTCTTCATTTCCATGACCCACCAAATGCACACTCTAAGAAGTCTAAAATTAAATCAGCATTACCTCACCATCATCATCGACATCGAATAAGACAAACCCCAGAAGGGGAACTGAAGAAAGGACGACTCGATTGAAGAAAGATTATAGTAGTAGTAGCAGTGTCAATTTACCATGGCAAAGCCACTGGGTTCTACTGGAGAGTTCTTCAGGAGAAGGGATGAATGGAGGAAGCATCCGATGCTGACTAACCAGTTACGCCATGCCACTCCTGGCCTCGGCATCGCTCTCGTGGCCTTCGGGATTTACCTCGTCGGCGAAGCTGCTTACAACAAGATCTACGCCCCTTCTCATTCTCACTCTCACGCCTCATCCTCTGCTGCCGGTTCTCATTCTCACTGAGAATAGTCAGGTCAGCCACCCCCTTTCATTCCTTTCTTTCTTTGTAGCTTCCCCCCCCCCCCCAAATTTATATACCTTATTCCTGTTTTCATATTTATGTTGATCGATTAGGTAATTTGGATGCATATTTGAGTTAACTTTTACGTTTGGAGTAATGGGTTTTCCTTTAATTTTTGTGCGTCTTTCTATTCTGCCAAGCTTTTATGCCATAATTTGAAGTTTTTGTCTTGCAAAATTGGGGCATCTGGTTTCACGAAGTGCGTTGCTGTTTTCTGTCACGTTTGTTGTTTTTGGGTGAATACTAATAGCTGTATGTCTGAACAAAGAGGAGGAAGAGAACGCTCTGCCGTTGTTATATTGTTTAGCTTTTAAACATTATTGTCTTTTTGGTTACTAGCTTTTTCTCCCTTTTTTTAAAAAAAAAAATTTCTTTTCTTCAATGTTAAGAGATGAAAATTGCTTACTGTTTCTGCTGGGTCTTCATTTTGTAAAGGAGCATATACATCTCCTTGCTTCGTTGCATAAAGAAGAAGAAATTCCAATTATGGGACTGAATGTGAAGCTCAGAAATGGCATTTACATGGACCTAAAGCCTTAAGCAACATGTTTTTTCTGCATTCCAAATACAACCAGTGTCCTCAGCTTCTAAATAAATGTCAAATCAGCTTTTTTATCTGATTGCCTACTCCGTTTGTTTCTGTATACCAAGCACATACAAAAGTGAGATAGCCAACTTAAGGAATAGGTTTTGGCACTCTGAACTTTCATCCCTACTCGAATTACATCCCTAAAGAGACTCAAATTGACTGCCTTTTGATGCTATAAATTTATGTCTACGTACTGACATCAACCTTCATGTGCTGGGACTAACGTTCTGTGAATTCTTGTAAACCTCAAATTGATGGTTAAGCCACCACCCTATCCATCTCAGGTCTGCTCGGCCCACCTCCCCAAAAGGAAACCAAATTAAAAAAAAAAAAAAAAAAGGAGAAAAGGAAAAAGGCTGAACCAAAGGCCACTATCATCTCCAAATTGAAACTAATTTTTCTCCTATTTTGTAGTATTTTATAGATAATCTGTCTATAATGGAACAGAATTCTCATGTTCAGAGCCCTTCTTTCTCTTCCATGTAGGATGGAAGTTTCTTCTTGATGCTGAATTAAAGCTAATTTTTCCTCTATTTAATCCCCTGGATTATGGGTTTATAAATGCAACAATATTCTCATGTTAAGAACCCTTCTTTCTTTTTCTTTTTTTTTTGTGGGATTAATTTTCTTCTTGATTTGATGCATGTATCAAGTCTGAAACCAACACTTTTCTGCTAACTGTCACTCTTATGGCTACATGCAGTGTGAGAGATTGTTTAGCTTTGAATCTTGGGCGTGCAGGTGATGCTTGATGAAAGGCGGCGGCATTCAGTATTCATTATGTTTGTTTTGAGCTCTCTGTCGTCAACAATAAATATATCAAGTGTTACTGTATTGCAACTTTATGCTTATAACAACTTTGATTCTGGTTTTTGAAACATTTGTCTGTTATAATACATTTATTTTCTAGAGTTTTATCTTGTATGCATTGAAAGTGTATACATTATTACCTGGATGTATGTCATATATACAAAAAATAATATTCAAATTTAAATTTAAATTAAGTGATATGCATCAAAGAATAAGAGCATATACACTCAAAATATAGACTATTTTCTATGCACTTGCCGAGACTTCTTTTGATTTTGTTATTGCCCGTCCTTGTTAAATTTGTGCGGTATTTCTGAAGGTATTCTGGTGGCGGTTTTGCATTCTCGAAAAATCAAATCAGTAAGCTGACAAATCTTAAAAAAAAAAAAAAGGCGACCCAGCAGCCTTCAGTCCAGTCCTTGATATAGATTTTTTTTCCCCGACATTTTTTCTGCTTCTTTTGCTCTATATGCATAGTTGATGTGAGTACCCATCCAAATTTAGAAGAGAAGCTTGTCCGAACTCATTTATGCTTTCACCCCTTTTATATTGTACTCCGGAAACTATACTTCGTTCATCCCTCAATCGATCCTCTGAACCAGTGCACTTTTTATTCAGGCCTTTAATCTGCAAATTTTAGATGCAAACGCGGAAGAAATTTGCTAAGAAAAACTTGTGGTCCGCTTATGGCTCATAAAGAAGATAATAACTGCTGCAGAAAATTTCAATCATGAGCTCTAGCAAAGTCCTCAGCCAAACGAAACTTGGCCATCTATGAACCTTTTGAAGCGGTTCTCATTCATACCAACTGTATACTGGAGGAAAGGTTACACAACAATTATTTACAAGCTTAGGGCGGCTGATGGAACCTCCAATTCTCCATCCAAGTCTACCCTCACCATCTCCCCTCCTTCCTGCAAGCCAATGTAAATCCCTATAATTAAACATTCTCCAGAAATATTTCAGCTACTAAAAATGTCTTTGAACTCTCTTATAAATCACTAGTGCAACATATGATGATCTGCAACAGTATATCAATTCTACTAATTTTCCTCATAAAGAAACCAGACAGAGTGTAAATGCCAAGCTTTTCCCCAACATAAAAGAACAGAGAGAGTTTACAATCATATTCAGGCATCATTAGGTTGATATGCAACTGCTCGTGCATTTTAACAGGGAACTAAACTTGGAGATGCGATTTAAACTTCAGTGAAAACCGGTAAAAGCCGACAACAGCTTAGCACAAACAGAGTTGGGAATTCCGCCAAAAGAAGGTAACAGAACCTACCTGTCCATCTCTCAATTCTGTTTCATAAGGAGAACGCTCCAACCCACCATTGCCATGAATAATTTTTGCTCCAAGGCCAGGTCTGTCCAGTGACCCTACTGCATCTTCATCAACCAAAACTAAATCAATCAGATTTCTCCCAGATCCACCATCAGGAATCTGCAGATGATGTATCAAAGATTAATAAACAATTGAAATTGACCTGCATGCCTTGCAGTAAAAACCGTGCATATTTGAGATGTGGACAAAGTACATGTTCAATGTAGCAATTCTGCAAATGCCATGTTGTAACCATTCTCGGCAATTTATGAGAAGATGGCCATAATCAATTTACTCAGCTTTGAAAAACAGAATGGCCAAAAACGAATCTAATCAAGCCTCAAAAGCAACATCAAAATCAAGAGACTGCAACTAACATACTTATCAACTATCCAGCTATACTTGCAACATATTTTTAGCCAAACTTTTTTCTCAATAGAACAAACTGTACTCTCAGTGCTGGGGTGTGGCTTTTGAAAAGGTATGATGATGATGTAGCAATCATGACAAACTTTCAGAAAAGGTCTACACTGAAATCAGATCACTAACATATACCTCAAACATGGCCTCTGTCTACACTGAAATCAGATCACTAACATATACCTCAAACATGGCCTCTGTCAAAATATTCTCAAGTATTGCTCTTAAGCCTCGTGCACCAGTTTTTTTTGCTATTGCTTTCTTTGCAACAAGTCTAAGTGCATTATCTTCAAAATGTAACTTGGCCTGCATTGTGAAAGTCAATTCAACAGAAGTGTAAAAAACAGACAAGGCAAACCCAGTTGCAAATAACTGTCATCACAAAAAAGAAGCGGCAGAAACTAAACTTCTCTGGCCACCTATAGTACAGGATCACAAGCTTACTTTATTCATGGCAAACATCCTTTTATATTGCTTGCAGAGGGCATTTTTCGGCTGAGTGAGAACCTACAGGACAAATTATGATGCCATTAGCAGAAGTTAAAAT